AATAATGCGCTTGAATCTGATCTACATGCAGACCTGAACGCATGTGCTTATTTTAGTGTAGCATTAGACGAGTCATGCGACATACAGGACAAGCCACAGTTGGCAATATTTGTACGAATGATTTCTGAGGACTGCGTGGTGAAAGAAGAGCTTCTTGATATTGTCCCATTAAAAGACAGAACTCGCGGCACTGACGTAAAAGAAGCAATGATGGAAGTATTCAAAACAGCGAATATGTCTTTAGAAAAACTCACCGCAATAGTCACGGATGGAGCGCCATCGATGATTGGTTCTGTGAACGGCCTTGTGGGCCTTTGTAAGGGTGATGACCTCTTCCCCGATTTTTGGAATTTTCACTGCATCATCCACCGGGAGCAACTCGTGTCTAAAACACTGAATTTAGACCACGTCATGAAACCTATGATGGAGATTGTGAACTACATCCGCACGCATGCCCTTACTCACCGACAGTTCAAAAATCTCATTGCTGACCTAGACGGAGACTTGCCAGGTGACTTGCCACTGCACTGCGCTGTAAGATGGCTCTCAAGAGGTAAAGTGGTTTCACGCTTTTTGGAGCTTTTGGAACCAGTAAAATTGTTTATGGCAGAAAAGAACGAAAGTTACCCTCAGCTCTCAGACCCCAAATGGCTTATGGAGTTGGCTTTCTTAGTGGACATGCTTTCACACTTGGACAAATTAAACCTGGACCTGCAGGGGAAATTAAAAACTCTTCCTGATCTGACACAAAGTGTATTCTCCTTTGTTAACAAGGTGAAGCTGTTCAAAGTGCACATTCAAAATGGCAATCTGTCCCATTTTCCTTCATTGCGCAGCGCCCAGCAGAAGGCTGGCATTAAAATGAATATTGGTCAGTACGTGAAAATGCTTGCGCAACTGCACGGGAGCATTACTTCGCGTTTTGAGGACCTGCAGCAGAAAAAACCACAGATCGCTCTTCTCATCGAGCCTTTTAATGCAGAGGCAGACTGCCTCAAATCCCCGCTTGTCACTGATGAGGCAGCGAGTGAACTGGAGATGATTGAGCTACGCGAGGATGACGGACTGAAATCTCTTTTGAAAGAAGGCCCTGTTGCGTTTTGGAGAGTTGTGCCAACTGAAAAATACCCGTGTGTAAAAAGAGCCGCCCTCAAACTGCTGTCGATGTTCTCCTCAACATATGTCTGCGAATCCCTGTTTTCTACCTTGAAACACGTGAAGTCCAAGCATCGGTCCGTTCTGACTGACACTCACGTAAAGGAACTGCTCCGAGTGGCTACAACTGAATACCAACCTGATTTGCAGAGGATTACTAGAAACAAGAGATGCCAGAAATCCCACTGAGATTATCACCCCATCCCCTCCAGCAAGGTAAGAAACTCTGTGATGTAGTTTGAAAAAAATACCATCAGACTAAACATGCCTGTGTGAATATTTCAATATTGATCAATTTACATTATACAGGCCCTATCTATGTATCTGAAGTGTGTTCATTAGTTGCGTGTGTCAGAGCGAGGGATAGAGAGAGCAGTGCCTGTGTGTGTGTGGAGAGGGAGGTGTCTGACCTCCAGGGTAGTTGCTGTATTACCTCTGGCTAAGCTGCATTTGATGTGTGTGTTGAGGGTGGACACTTGAGGGTTATGTTGTAAGAAGAGGAGTGTGTTATTAGAAAAATATATGGTTTTAATTATGTGTGTTTGTGTGCGCGTGTGTGTGTGTCTGTCTTGGCAGGTCAGCGCGTGGTGTGGCTCTTGGACTTTCACAGTTAAAGATTTCGGCTCTTTGTGTCTAACTTGTTCGCCACCCCTGCCCTAAACTATAATAAAACATCAGTAATTCATTTGCAGAGGCATGGGGGCCTAAAGGGTTACATATTTCAATTTAATCGGTGTACAATAGTATTTGCAATGCATTTGGCCTTTGAGAATATAACGGATGGGATGTAAAAAGAGCTCCATCAGTAAAATCATAGAAAAATCCCTCACTTCTTTGTGGTACAGTGGTTAACATGGTGAAGATTCTGGGATTGGTCAGTAACTGCTTGAGACTTTGAATGAGTGGTAAATAGTAAAAACTTTTGCCTCTTAAGGTCATGACTCTTGAAAGACCACGTTTTACCCAACAAATCTTCTGGGACACCACAACTTCCTCTGGGTTGACTGGATTGAATAGTTCCCGGATGGTTTTATTCTGTCCATATGCTGTGGTTGAAAAAGGATCCAAGAACGCATCAAACGTTGCCAAAGCCTCACCTTGGAGCTGAGCATTTTTGTCTGGATTCTCTTCAAACACCCTTCTGATTCTCTCCCTTAGCATGTCAACGAGAGCAGTTTGGTACTGTTGCACCCCTGAGATGACACGGTTGACAGTGCTCTGGGAAAATATTTAAAATGTAAATTATTTTTTCACCCATATATTCATTGGCCACAGGCCCATATTTTAGATTAGAATATTTTAATAAATAATTTCTATATTTTTTAAAAATATTGTTTCAATGAATTATTCACAAATAATATTCTTTGGATAATGAGAAGTCAATTTTTAAGAATGAGTAGATGGACACAGTCAAAGTTCTTATTGATTTGAAATTAATTTTTCGAGAGGACGCACAAGAGGGGAAAACTTCATTTTAATCCCACATTCGCTTCACTGGTCTGGGACCTGAGCAGCTCTATCTTCTAAGGTAAGAGGAAATGTTAAATGTTTTTATTTTTTATGTTTAGGACTATTCTTGTGCAAAGAGCACATAATTAATTTCTCGAATTGTAGGACTATTGCAATTATTGTTGTCTGTTTTAACTTGTATAACGTATTATGGCGATAACTAACTTAGCATTCACTGGAGACAATAATAGGCCTATGAAAGAGAAAGTGTGCATCATATACTCAAAATCATGCATGATTAACGTGCACACTCGCAGTGTGGATTCAATGCGGCCACCCTTTAAATATATCGTTATATGTAGGGCAACATTTTCAATTACTTAACACAAGTCAGCATCGCACAGAGAACAACCTAATTGGCATGATAGGCCTTCAAAAGTCAAAATAAACTGAGTTGTGGAAACTTACAGACTCAAGGCAGAAGTCAGCGTCAGGCTGCGGTGACGGTTCAGGTAGAAAGGGATCAGGTGGGACAGCCACAGTGCTGTCCGCTGCAGGAGTGCTACAGCTGGCAAACACTGAAACAGCAAATGTTTCCTGTCCCAAAGACCAAGAAGAAGGCGTCGTACTCCATCCACTTGGTGGGCATCCAGTCCTCAAATAATGAAAATGCGTCCGCTTAATGTGGCGAAAGAAAGAGTTGAAAACTCTAAAGTCTTGTTCGCATCCGTCAATACCACAATAAACCCAAAAGTCCGGGCTGCGACTGTGACTTTTAATAATGGAATAACTAAGGAGTACTTTAAGACTTAAAGCAACAAAGACGAAACATATCATAAAGCTCCACGCCGCCATGATGCACCGTCGTTGTCGCGGGCTATTGACCGTGAGGGGGAGGGGGGCACTCATGCAATCATTTGTTATTAATTTAACAATTCATTTCTCCAATTATAAATGTGACTTAATTAATTTTATGATGGTAAATGTATTTTCTTTTTACTAATATTTTACTAACAAGTTCATGTTTAAATCCGATCAGTTCTGCGCATCCTCAGTTCATATCCTCCAACGGTTCCACCTCAATGACGTCAGTGATTGCGGTTCTCTACTTGACCGTTAAATTTTGAAGAACAGCAGCACAAGGTCAGTAAACTGTATTGAATTGGTATATATTATGGCGGTATATTACAAAATCTGCCAAGAAACAGAAGAAGAACATATTGATTGTCGCTGCAATGGGTTACTGTTTTGCAAACATTGTCCGTTGGAGTATTTGCTAGCTAGTTGATAGCTGATGTGCACCTTTACACGCTGGTCACTAGCTATTAGCTAACGAGCTCCGTTTGCCTGTGGGTTTTCCCTGGTAGTTCTAAGGTACCGCCTGTTAAGACTTCAGGGAGCTGATGAATCCGGAATCCGGGATGGATACTTTTGACGATGCCACTCTATCGGTGTTGGAGGGTAAGTCATGAATAAAGTTGATATCTAATGTATCAATGCTACTTATAGAGTGCACATTCTTAGCTGAATACCTTATTTGAAATCCTACATTTTTTCCTCAAGCTTCATTTGCTGACCGACTTTAAAATATGCTTAGGGTGAAAAATGTGAAGCAAGAGTCAGACTTCTAAAGCAAAATATATGGTTGTGAAATAGAAAATCTCACATTTTAAAATCATGAGGTCTGCAGTTTCCGGTTGGCGGGAAGGTTACCCCTCCCCCCAACATTGTAAATCATCCGCCATTCAGATTGTTATGTAGCATGGTCATTATACATATCCTCCTGCCTACCAGGAGGTAGGAGGTATTACATTTTTTTTTTTTAATTCCCCAATCTTTGTAAGGTAATTAGAATACTGAAAACATTTTTTTTTTTTTAAAGTTTTTATTTTTAAGATATCATGTGTCCACTACAGTGGACATCGGAACGCCATACATGTGAAAAGGAACCTTGATGGCAACTAGTTAGTCCCAGAGAAAATATAAAAAAGTCAACATAAGAATGATTTTTTAACATCCACATAGCAAAAAAACAAAAGTGATGTTGGACAGTTTTGTTGTGCATTGAAGATATCATGTGTCCACGGTGGACATCAGAACGCCGTATGTGAAACTGAACCTTGATGGCAATCAGTTGGTCCCAAAGAAAATACCAGGGTTTAACATCCACATAACTGTCCATCATCACTTTTGTTTTGTTTTGCCTTGCCTTGTGCTTATTTGGTATGATACTTCAAAAAGCAATTCCCCTTCTTGGAAACACAAAGGAACACCTTGCACTTCGTGCACATCACGTAGGTTTTGCTCCTGCAGCCGGATCTGCGACACCTTGATGCATGTGTTTCGTCCACATTCTCTGGAAGATGGATTGCGCCATAGTGCCTCAGACTTGGATTTGGCTGCAGTTTCCACTTTTGACGTGGGGGAGTGTAGTCATCTTCACTGTCACTTGTGACTCCTGCTTGGGCCCGAGTAATCAAGCCTTCACCAAGGAGCAGTTTGAAATCAAGGAACTTCAGTGGTTTCTTCCCCAGAAACTGGCGGTCACTCTTATACTGAAGCCAGGAGTTGGTGATTGCCAGGTCAAAAAAGTGGAAAACTGCACGCACTGTCCATTTCCGAGTGCTAGAGGCCATCCTGTAGGAACTCAACATTCGATCAACCAAGTCCACACCACCCATGTTGGCGTTGTACTCAGCAATTGCCAGTGGCCTTGACACCTGGACAAACCTTTTGTCTTTCTTGGACCATCTTCTGCGTGTGTCCTGAGGTTCAATGCCATAGGCAGAGGATGCCATGGCAACTGGCTTGTTGTCCAACAACTTTATGACAGCAAGTTCAGGAGGGGTTCGTCTGACTACCATCTCTGATGCCCCTCTTCCTTTCTTTTTGAAGGGGTTATTCCCTATGATCTTGCACTCTTTTGGCACCCTGTTTTTCATGAGGGTTCCAGTCCCTGTCAGCCCTTTTGCCATCAGGGTGTCGAGGAGGTTGATTGTGGTGAAGAACCTGTCAAAGAACAGGTGGGTTCCTTGGGGAACAGACTCTGACAGATGAAGAACAGCTTGCTCTCCGATGCCCTTTCCTTCTGTGACTGTGAAGGTAGTCTTGCCTTGGTAGACCACAAAGTCTAAGACCAGACCGGTTGGTCCGCACCAAGACAAACACCTTCAATCCAGTTGGGTGTGGTTTCCCCGGAACATACTGGCGCACTGGGCATCGACCAGTAAAAAGAATCATTTGCTCGTCAATGCACAATTTTCCTGTTCTAGGCAGATTCAGACATCCTTGCCTCACTTTGGTCAAGAGGGGCCTGATTCTCCACAAGAGATCACTAGTCTTTTCAGCGTCCGAAACATCAAGGTCATTGACAATCTTAATGGAATTTCTCAGCTTGTAAAACTGATTTCTGGTCATGGATTCTGCCACAATTTGAACTCTGGTATTTGAGGCCCAATACATTTGAATGTTCATGCTCATGTAAATAGAATTCCCAAAGAATGTCTTCAGTTCTTCAGGAGTGGTATTTAGTGTTGCTCCAGACACAAGGACTTCACGCTGATTTGTGTACAGGGCCATTTCTTCATACACAGAGTCATCAAAGTACTGCTTAAAATAATCCATTGGGGTCCAGTTTTGGCGTGTCGTGGCATCATTGCTCTGAAAAATGGGAGGATCATCAAGTTGGAATTTGAATCTAAAGAAAACCAATAAAGGGAGAAAAACTAAATTAAAATGAGTCTCAATTTTTAGAGAAAATAAGTTAATGTTTTTTTAATACAAACTCATTGTGTACTTTGAATTCTTGCTCCAAAGTGGATGCCGACTGGACTGTTCTGCTTGATCTGACTCCTCTGCCTCTGCTTGCCCTGCCTGAGTTTCATCCTCAGTGCTCTCTGACTCATCTTCCTCTGCTTCTGGCTCAAACACTGCATCTTGCTCTTCTTCATCAGACAACTCAATATCTGAGTTTCCATAAACTATTAGCAGTAAAATCCTCTCTGCTTCTGAGAATGACTCCCTTTCTTTTCATTTGAAAAAAACAGAACAAAATAGAAGAAATAACTACAAATGTCCACTACGGAGGACATTTCTTAAACACTTAAATACTATGTTTAAATACAACTAAAATCATTCAAAAAATGTTTTAATGTGTTCTTAAGTGACTTATATAAAATATGCCAGCAACATTTCAAGCCAAAATTTGCTCAATAAAAAGTATTTTGCACTTACTTTTCCTTTTCCCATAAAATGTGCTTGCACTGACGGCGGCCATTTTCCAGAATGAAGAAGTGAAAGGTACCAAAGCCCCACCCTTTTACATTTGGTATCATTGAAAAGCCAGAGACGTCCTCTGTAGATAGCAAAGGGAGTTAATGCAGTAGTATACTGTGGGTGGGAGATATTCAGGTTTACAAATGTCCTCCACAGAGGACAAATTTGAACTACTGGTAGTCAGGAGGTGCAGGATTGGAAAGAACAATATCATGAGACACCATATTAGTCTTGGTAGGAACATCCCCAAACAGACATTGGAAGTCTAATATGAGTTTTGTGATGTCCTCCACTTGGTCACCCGATAAATGTGACAAATAGTCAGGCAGGTTAGCCAGTAGTTCACTATTACTAAGCCTTGCAACTTGTGGAGGATTTTTGCGTGTTACCATATCCTCCTCAGCCGACTTTGACACCCAGGTTACAGGGGAAATGGTTTCAACCCGATTCTGGGTTGGTTGGTCGGTCTCTCTTGAATGATACAGTTTTATCATATTGACATGACAAAGCCTGGTCTTGCGGCGGCGATCAGGAGTTTGAACAATGTAGTTTGTTTCACTAAGTTTCTTTTCAACCACATATGGCCCAGAGAACTTCATTTCCAGAGAAGAGCCAGAGATGGGCAGCAAGATCAAAACTTTATCACCAGGGTTGAACTCACGAGTGACTGCTTTTACTGCCTGTGACTCTGCCAACCCCCTTGGTGGCGTTGCCATTACAGCAACTCCTTCATCTTTTGAAGGAGGGAGTCCTAAATCACCAGAAGAAACATCACAAACATCTACATCCATTTTACTTGGGTCCACCAGGACTTTAATCTCAACCAGCTTTTGAACGACAATGTTCTTAATTTCAGCTTTTGAAAAGTGTTTCTTCACTGAAATGTCAAAATGCTCAGCCAGACATAACAAGTCGTCCTTACGACACAATTCCAGCTGTTCATGGCTAGGAGCCTGTACAAAGTCCTCCAAGCTGAAGCTAATTTCTAAACAGGCACAAGGATCTCTCAACTTATTATGGATGTCTACATCTCAGGGAAAATTCAGATCCTGGACGAGCCCCCACTTGTTACGGCCCCCCCCCCTTTTTGCGAGGAGGAGAGTAACACAACAGCCACAACAATTTGACAGAGTCCAGGTGAATGTTGAAAAAAGGAGGGATTTATTGATAACGAAAATCCCAGAAGGCTCACACAAACTGTGGGGGAGAAAGGGGCGGTTAGGTGGTGCCAAATCAAAGAAAATAATAAAACAAAACAGGGCCTCACTACCGTCTGTGCTAAAGAAACAAAAGAAAACAAAAACCCTGCCTATCTAATCTAACAAAAGTTTCCACCAAAACTTTACATGGGTGGCACCCCCCCCCTACTTACCTAGAGTATCTAACAGGAAAAAATGGGTTTACAATGGGTTGAAGACATAAAACCATTAAAATCAGTAATTTGTTCAGATTCAAGCTCTGCGTTATTAAGTTTAAAATATAATAAATCAGATAGTAGGATGGACATATTATTAGAAATATTTCATACATTATTTAGAATACAAAACATGGGTTCAATAGTTATATTTGTGTTGGTTCCAGCGCATATTGGGGTAGAAAGAAATGAGAGGGCAGATAAATTAGCAAAGAGGGCGATTCAAAATCCTATAAATTTTATCATTAAAACAACACTGTAAAAAAAAAAAATGTAATTTTTACGGTAAAATACTGGCAGCGGTTGCCAGAATTTTAACCGTAAAAATTACAGTCTGACATTTTTACAATTGCGGATTCTACAGTAATAAATGGTGTTTTATTCAACCTTTTACCGTAAAAATGAGTTTTTACCATTGAAATTTATCAAGTTTTATCCTAATATTTCCAGTAAAACAATATTACAAATACAGTTACAACCATAAAATATTAAAGTATTTTGCTGTAAAATTAACAGTCTAAATTATAAAATATGTCACTGAATTCCTGTATAATTACTGGGTTTTGTCTGTATTTTAAACGGTAATTAACTGGCAGCTGTGGTTGCCAGAATTTCACCGTCAAAATTACAGTAAGATATTTTTATAGATGAGTATTGGTGTTGCCGATTCTACGGTAATAATTATTTCTTCAACCTTTCACTGCAAAAATGACTATTATTACAATTATAAAAAATTATATTTTGTCCTAAAATGTATATATAAGATGCAGTTCATGCCATGAAATTTTAAAACATTTTACTGTAAATTTAACTGTTTTACCATGCTAACATTTCCCTAAATTACTGTATTAATACATGTTTTGTCGTTATTTTTCAAACGGAAAAAACTGTAAAAATGCAGGATATTTCTCCTTTTCTTCAATGGTAAAAGAGCACCAGTATTGCTGATTTTATGGTTAATTACTGACTTTGAAACCATAATGTTATATAAAACTAAGAAAAAAAAAACTACAAAGACTACAAATATCTCACTTTTTGGATAAAAATTAAAACTGAAACATTAAAGAAATGTTTAGTTAGTGCAAATTATGAAATTGAAAAGAGCAAATTTACTTGGTAAAATTATCAAATCGATTAGAGCAGCTAAATAATGTGTTACCAGTTTTGTTTAATGGTAAAAACATGGAAAAGTATAAGTAACAAGTGACATAAAATATCCAAAAACCAAACTTTATTCCATTTTTTCCATTTAATGAAAACTTTTTGGGCTGTACAAACTTCTCACAACCCTGTGAACACTGATTACAGAGAACTTGTAACACATCTTCAAAAAAGCAGCAAGCACTTATATTAGTGCAAAAGTTTGAAAAGATATTACACAACATTATCACTTCAACCCCGGTGCAGTGTGTTTCAAATGAATAATCCATATCATATGGAATTGGCGCACACACACAGAAATAAAAACTTTCTAACAAATGTGCTGGGCACCACTGTAACCTTTCTGAAATAGATAACTAAAACTGTTCACGTTTTTTTACTTGTAACTTGTCAATCACCACATATTCATTAAGCCGTGACAGTGGTACAGCATAAAATCTGTTTTATTGTCATCTGCTATATACATATATAGAAAAAAAATGTCTAACATAAATTTGCAAGATTTAACATGAAGATGAAAAATGTGAAATCTTACAGTGTAAATGTGACTGCAGTTTTACATACCGCAACATAACAACATTACACATCATATCAAATGACTCACAAAGTATGGTCTAAGTCCACTCATGGTCTGCGAGGTCAGCGATGAGTGTGAGGACTCTTGGGTTGACCGCCAAGATCTTCCTCCTCTTGCTATGATCAACTTTTGTTCCTCTCTCCGGATTAATTGAAAAGAAACACCTTGAAGAAAAGAAATGTGATTGCATTTAATGTTATGTTTATAAATGACTTAACAGAAAGATATCACGAGATCCAGCTTTGTGGTGGCTGGATTCAGTGGCAGAGCCAGAGGAATATTTATTGACAGGCTTTTGTGCCTACCCTGCTTCACAAACAGACTGAAGAACTCTTCTGTCTCCATGGGCATAAAAATATAGAATTTAAACACTGTTCAGCAACAGCAAAGAAATAATAAAACATTTTCACAGTTTCTACTGGCATTATTTCTATCATGAATATTTAGATTTAGCAGTTTTTCCCCCTCCATTTCAATTGTCTTTTGTATTTATTATATTTCGGTAACTAGTAACATTCTGATCTATATTGTGAAAACTTTATCTTGCTGGTAAATATAGACTGTGTGTAAGTATAA